AAATCAGAATTGCGAGATATAAAAACAATTCTGATTTTTTTTAAAGTTTATTACTTGCCATTCTGACTATAACACACAATTGTATACGTATATCTCGCAATTCTGACATTTTTTTCTCTAAATTGTGAGATATAAACTCGCATCTGCAAGTTTAAGTCCAATTCTGAGCGGAAAAAAGACTAACTTAATCAAATTTTTCATCCATGTTAAAATATTTTATAATGTCACATGATCTGTTCATTATGGAAGCTTGTTTCCACCACAGAATAAAAATAAAAAAGGTAATTGCGACTTTTTATCTCTGCCCTTTTTTAAAATATCTCCCAATTCTGACCTTATAACATGAAATTGTGACTCTATATCATACAATTCTGACTTCATATTCACATTCATCTCCCATTTGCGTGTTATAAAGTCAGAATTGCGAGATGTGAACTCGCAATTGTGAGAAAATAGAATCGTTTTTTTTTTTTAATTCTGTCGCGGAAACAAGCTTCCATAATGATCATGTGACCTAATAAAATGTTTTATCATGGATGGAAAGTTTGATTAAGTTAGTCAAAAGAATTACTCATCCATATATATTAGGCTCTTTACACTTTCAGAAACACACACACACACATACACTGTAAAAACGAATACGCTTTTTCTAATCAAAAAAATTGTGGCAACAGATTACAAGCAATATTACTAATTAAATTTAACAAATTAGAATTGAGTAATAATTAATCAAATTAGTTAACCATTTAAAATGACTAAAACATACAACAACAACAACAAACAAACAAAAAAGTACATTTAAGTCACCATTATGTTGATCAGTGTTTGTTTTAAAATGACGGTTTTCTCCTTCAGTAATTCTGCTCGTTAACATCAGGTGTCTTCAATGTTGGCAATATTAAATAAAGAGTTCTTAATTAATCTTTGACGTCAGATATTTTTGTTAAATTTTTGGGTGTAAACTTTACTCATTTTAAATGGTTAACTTTTAAGGAATTAATTTGTTTAATTATTACTCAATTCTAATTTTTTTTAATTTAATTAATAATATTGCTTGTAATCTGTTGCCACAATTTTATTGATTAGAAAGCGTATTCATTTTTACAGTGTAATCATATTCTCGGTTGCACTTTATTTTACAGTCCTGTTGTGCATACTTATTACAGTAATTACAATAACTGGGTAATAACTACTAACCTTGAACCTATAACCTAAACACCTGTAGTTTATGTGTACTTACAGTGAACTTATTACCCAGTTAATATAATTACTGTTATAATGCACATTGCACAACTGGTCTGTAAAATAAAGTACAACCATATTCGCTCGTCATTTTTATTTGTCAATGTCCGTTCATAAAATATAAACTAATGGGAAAAATGAATGTATGTAATGTACATATGAAAAATATCATATGGCGCTTAGTTTGCATAATACAGTACATGATTGATGTTTGTTGAATGCCTTACATTTTTGTCCTGTTGGCTAAATATATAAGCTTTAACTAGAAATTAGTTGCTTTCAGTGATGTTCAGGATGTGCCAGAATTTAACGATTTGATGTTAGCGTACTGTAGATCGTTTACTACTGTATATCGTGCTGTAGAAATATTTTCATGTGAAGAGTTTTGACCTGGAGAGTACTATGCCTTTTGCACTTTTGTTCTCGTTGTTTTTATGTTGTTGTTCTTATTTTTTATATCATATCTGGAACTAATGGAAGAGCAGTATTTAACCTGAAAGTAATATTTTGTTGTTCAGAAAATTTGTACTGATGTGCCATTTTAACAGCTTAGAGAATATTAACCACAAATCAACTAATGTATATAGCCTAAGATAAACTCAGTTTATTTCCCCCTATGATGGAATTACATGATATCACAGAAATGACAAGCAATGATATACAGAACTTTTTTCTATTGACCTCCACGTTGTTGTTGTTTTTTTGAAGGTTTTTATGTAAAGTGTATTGTATTCCCTACAATAAAGTTGAATTCTGCATTGAAGTTTCATTAATATGATCTAACAGCGACACCTCGTGGACACAATATCATATTGCGTTACCAAATTAACATGGAAACCGAAGTTCCATTATTCCTTGTTTCTAAATTAAGCTTTTACTGTTTACAGATTTTACAGAGAGAGAGAGAGATATATTAATTATACATTAATTAATTAATCCAAAGCCAATTACAAAGAAGAGAACAATACAATCAGAAGTAATTATTCCAAGCAATTGGACTACTCTTATTTATTGAAATGCCATAATCACTTTCAGCAGGTTGAATATGATAAACAAGCAGATGACGCTATATTGAACAGCATTTGAACAAGTCATTTACAAAACGTACGAAATTTGGCTAGCAAACAGCACATTTCTTTTTATGTAGGCTATTTATAATGGTAAGTAGTCTATAGTAGCCTAAACTATAAAGTTTTCTATTCAAAACTAACAAAATGTATTAATTATTCAAATGCATTATCGATGCTTCTCATCTTTACATAATACTGCGCCACTTGCGTCATTAAACCAGAGGGTGGCGACAAGACTGTCTTTTTGAGTGAGCCATTACTTAAATTACCAAACATAGATTAATTTAGGAAAGAAAAGTAGCTGAAACTGAAACTGATTCTCATGTTTGAGAATCTGATCAAATAGGCTACTTCATGCTTTTAAAGCTACTGTTGTCAATTTTTTTTGACCATCAAACACCTTAAAATGCTCATTTCGAGATCAGGAAAATCTAAATTTTCTCGAGGGGGGCATTTCCCTGAACCCCCCTAACAATATCATTTATGGGACCTGGGTATTGTGCGGCCCTGATATGCAATAATACTGATTTTATGTGTTCTATTGTATTTATTATACTCTATTCTGTAGTCTTGCATATTGTACTAATGCTAGACTAGTAGTCTTTCATGTCACTGTTTATAACACAGAGCGTTCATTTTTTGCTGTGACGCTTAAAAAAATATTTAGGGCATAAATTAAGAGTATGCCCACTTCTCCAGGCACCACATCACTGGTTATGCCCTCAAATATTTTGAAAACTCAATTAAAAAAAAAAGGAAAAAAGTTATGCCCTCAAAGATGGCGTCGATGGGGAGGTCACGTGTGACAGTTATTCATATGAGGTTAACTGCAAGACAGAAATTAAAAATAAATTTTAAAAACCCCCCAAAAAACTGCAAGACAGATATCAAACTTCACTTTAAATAAGATTATTTTCATTCAAACGATGTGCGTGGGCGTTGGCCGTCTGCCAAGGCGTCCTCTTGCTGCCCTGCCCTGTGACATCATAGTAGCCTCCGCTGAACTTCACTGTCTCTCCGCTTGGTTTCGAACGTCTTTGGAAGAACATTGAATTTGTGAAACTTGCACGGTTTTATACTTTTATACCTCCAAACATCAAGGAAAGAAGAAGCAGATGACCGACCGTTCTGTGAAACTTGCCGTGAACAGTATTATTCAGAATAGCTGGACCCTGTCAGACGACGACAAGGTAACTTAAGGGGTTATAATTGCTTTTTTTAGTAACGTTGTTTGATATAGCGTGAAATTTAGCTAAGTTAGTGAAAAGTGCCCGAACAAAATCAGTTTTTGTGTGTTTTAGTAATTGTTGGTTTTTATGTGTTTATGTCAGAAGGATTATTTTTGAACCACAACCTTCTAAGTGCTTCTTATATAGATATTTACTGATATACATAACCGGTCAAAAGTTTTATATCGGTAAGATTTTTTAATGTTTTTAAAAGAAGTATCTTCTGCTCACCAAGGCAGCAATTATTTTGATAAAAATACCCAAAAAACAGTAATATTGTGAAATATTATAACAGCGGTCTATGTGAATGTATAGTGAAGTGTAATTTATTCCTGTGATCAAATCTGAATTTACAGCATCATTACTCCAGTCTTTAGTGTGACATGATCCTACAGAAATGATTATAATATGATGCTCAAGAAACATTTATGATTATTATCCATGTTGAAAACAGTTTTTTACATTTTTATTTCAGGATTCTTTGATGAATAGAAAGTTCAAAATAACAGAATTGATCTGAAATGGAAAGCTTTTGTAACATTAATCACTACTATTCAAAAGTTTGGGGTTAGTTAGAATTTATTTTTTTTTTTTTGGGGGGGAAAATGGTACACGACTGTTTTCAACATTGAAAATAATAATTTAGTTTTTTTTTAGCATAAAATCAGCATATTAGAATGATTTCTGAAGGATCATGTGACACTGAAAACTGATGCGTAATCAGCAACAGTAATGATGTTGAAAATTCAGCTTTCAAATGACATTTTAAAATATATTAAAATAGAAAACAGTCATTTTAAATTGTCATAGTATTTCACAATATTACTGTTTTGTCATTTTTTCATCAAATAAAGCAGCCTTGGTGAGCAGAAGAGACTTCATTTAAAAACATAAAAAATCTTACTGATCTAAGACTTTTGACCGGTAGTGTATTTTGCGTTTATAGCTAATCCAAACAACGTAAAACTCGTCACTGCACCCGTAGCAAGACACCAGTCAAATCTGAAATCCATCACACACACACAAACACACACACACACACACACACCACAGACATTCATGTAATTTTTAGATAGATTTGGGCCGCTCAGTTTGAGTTATATTAGTTATATGTTGATTGATGTTGTTCTGTCTCTGTTTCAGTTGAGAATGGCCATCAAACTTCCTGCGATCACTAAAGGTCTGGTGGACAACAGGAACCATCGCCCACAGCTCAGGTGTGTGTGTGTGCTCAGACGTCAGTGTGTGTTAACATAGTAACTCAGCGAGGTGTTTATTTAAACTGCGTCTCGTGTATATATAAAACATCTAAACAAGATGTAGAAATTATTTTGAAATAAAATAAAACATTAAAAAAATATTCTATTTAATTTGACAAGTAATAAAAATGTTATTTATTTTATGTTATGATAATGTTATATATCTGGTTTTACAGTGTAAACACACAGAGAAAAAGGAGGAGCTCCTACAGCTGACTCATGGAAAGCAGTGGATCAACCAGCCAATCATGACGCAGGAGTCAGATCCCAGGAGGGACCGTAAAATGGTAAGTACTTGACCGAGCTTTATTTTTAAAGAAACAACAAAAAAAGCATTTAAGGCTTAAGTTATCGAGATAAAAATCAACCCGATTTCAAAGGGGGACCAGATTTGTCAACACAACAGCTTCACGAACAAGAAAAAATGTAGAATGGCGGTGAAAACACAAACCTGCCAGACATTAAGGGGTTTATGCAACACTTATCGCTTATTAAGGGATTACTTAAATAAAAAAACAGCATTTATGGGAAATTCTAAGTGTTTATGACGTTACACTTGATTGACATAGTACTCCATTTTAAAGGGATAGTTGATTAGCAGTTGTAAATCATTTATTTATTAAACAGGTACCATATATCTATTTATCTGTTTATTTCTTCATTTTTAATTTCTGCAGGATTTGTCTTCCACGAAGCTGAAGCCGTCAGCTCTCATACCGATGAAGGATTGGGAAGAGCGGCAGCAAAAAAATATGCATCGACAAATGGTATGAGGGAAAACATTTTGAAAAACAGTTTGTGAATAGGCTACTATGAATGATGGCCGTGAATAAAATATAATATTCAAAAGTAAACATGTTAGAAATGTTAGTAACCATAGCTGATATAAATAAGTTTGTTTAATTTGATTTCAGCTGATGCTTATTGTTCTGTCTCTCTCTCTCTTTCTCAGCTGATGAAGGCCAAACCTGCAGTCGATAGCAAGGGCCCCGAAACACTGCCGCTTATTAGAGGCATTCGGACGAAAGTCCAGGTATTTGATTAATTAATATAGTTATATTAGCTATATATATATATATATAGCTCTATAACAGTACAATTGAATATCTATTTATCTGTTTATTTCTTCATTTTTCATTTCTGCAGGATTCGACCTCCACGAAGCTGAAGCCGTCAGCTCTCTTACCGATGAAGGATTGGGAAGAGCGGCAACAAAAAAATATGCATCGACAAATGGTATGAGGGAAAACATTTTGAAAAACAGTTTGTTCATAGTAGGCCGTGAATAAAATATAATATTCAAAAGTAAACATGTTAGAAATGTTAGTAACCATAGCTGATATAAATAAGTTTGTTTAATTTGATTTCAGCTGATGCTTATTGTTCTGTCTCTCTCTCTTTCTCAGCTGATGAAGGCCAAAGCTGCGGTCGATACCAAAGGCCCCGAAACACTGCCGCATATTACAGGCAATCGGAAGAAAGTCCAGGTATTTGATTAATTCATATAGTTATATTAGCTGTATAATTATATATATATATATATATATAGCTCTGTAACAGTACTGTTGCCGATTACAGTGATGTGTTTGAAGTAACGTGGAGTAGATGAAATGCATGATAATAACAGTGTTTGTCTTCAGTTGCAGAAAGAAAGGAAGATCTCTCTCGAAAACCAGCAGAACGAACAGCGAATCCGGATGCTGGAGTCAGATTTCAGGAGGGAACGCTGGGAAGCTGAGTGGGAACAGGTCCAGCAATGGAGAGACCACTGCAGACGGTTTCCCCGAGGAGAGACCAACAAACAGGTATGATCGTAATTCACACTTTATAAAGCGGAGCTAATTTTTTCTTCATTTTCTCGCCTTCATCATGTTTCCAACCCTTCTGTGAAACACAATAGCACACATTTTGGATGCTCACGCTGCTCTTGTTAATGCCTGTGAAAAACAGCATGTCAAGTGGGTTCGAAATTGTTATTTCAAAGCCCTAAATGGTTTAGCTCCTCAGGACTTGAGCGAGATTTATTTTTAAAGAGGCGTTTACAACACAAAAAAACATTGAATATCTATTTATCTGTTTATTTCTTCATGTTTAATTTCTGCAGGTTCTGAAGCCGTCTGCTCTCTTACCGATGAGGGAATGGGAAGAGCGGCAACAAAAAAATATGCATCGACAAATGGTATGAGGGAAAACATTTTGAAAAACAGTTTGTGAATAGGCTACTACGAATGATGGCCGTGAATAAAATATAATATTCAAAAGTAAACATGTTAGAAATGTTAGTTACCATAGCTGATATAAATAAGTTTGTTTAATTTGATTTCAGCTGATGCTTATTGTTCTGTCTCTCTCTCTCTTTCTCAGCTGATGAAGGCCAAACCTGCGGTCGACGCCAAGGGCCCCGAAACACTGCCGCTTATTAGAGGCATTCGGACGAAAGTCCAGGTATTTGATTAATTCATATAGTTATATTAGCTATATTATATATATATATATATATATATATATAGCTCTATAACAGTACTATATTACTAGTAATAATTGGCAATAATTGGTAGGTGCCAATTATTTAAACAGATGCCAATTATTTGCAAAGAGCAGTTTCTGTTCATTTTTTTGTCAAACAGTATTTGTATTTAACGTTACTGTCTTTCTGACATTATTATTACCTGTTCAGTAGGAAGGAAGCGCCGGACATCGAACAGGCACAGAAAAACTCTGAAGATGTCAAGTCACATTTATTGGCAAAACCCAGGATCTAAATAGTCTACTGAACACACTATGCAGTTTTCCATTTTTTTGTCAAACAGTATTTGTATTTAATGTTACTGTCTGTCTGACATTATTATTACCTGTTCAGTAGGAAGGAAGCGCCGGACATCGAACAGGCACAGAAAAACTCTGAAGATGTCAAGTCACATTCATTGGGAAAACCCAGGATCTGTCGGGGGCCACTTCTCCTCAGGCCATTGAATACCTACCTACCCACCCACCTACCTACCCACCTACCCACCCACTCACCCACCTACCCACCCACCCACCCACCTACCTACCTACCTACCTACCTACCTACCTACCTACCTACCCACCTACCCACCCACCTACCCACGGGTTCGGGTAGGTGGGTGGGTGGTTAGGTAGGTAGGTGGGTGGGTGGGTAGGAGGGTGGGTTGGTGGGTGGATATTGGGTAGGTGGGTGGGTTCGGGTAGTTGGGTGGGTGGTTAGGTAGGTGGGTAGGTAGGTAGGTGGGTAGGTAGGTGGGTAGGTAGGTAGGTGGGTAGGTAGGTGGGTAGGTAGGTAGGTAGGTAGGTAGGTAGGTGGGTGGGTAGGTGGGTGGTTGGTGGGTAGGTGGGTGGGTGGGTAGGCAGGTGGGTGGCTAGGTAGGTGGGTAGGTAGGTAGGTGGGTAGGTGGGTGGGTAGGTAGGTGGGTGGGTGGGTGGTTAGGTAGGTGGGTGGGTGGTTAGGTGGGTAGGTAGGTAAGTAGGTAGGTAGGTGGGTGGGTTCGGGTAGGTAGGTAGGTGGGTGGGTGGTTAGGTAGGTGGGTGGGTGGTTAGGTAGGTGGGTAGGTGGGTAGGTGGGTAGTTAGGTGGGTAGGTAGGTGGGTAGGTAGGTAGGTGGGTGGGTAGGTAGGTGGGTGGATGGGTGGGTGGGTAGGTGGGTAGGTGGGTGGGTTGGTGGGTAGGTGGGTGGGTTGGTGGGTAGGTAGGTAGGTATTCAATGGCGAGACCCAGGCTGTACCGCGCAGATGGACTCCACCCCAGCAGATTCGGAGCGGCTGTGCTGTCGGACAACATCTTTCCAACATCTGTATTGTGAAAAGCTATATATAAATAAATGTGATTTGACTTGACTTGAAATTGTCTCAACACTACTGTGTATTAAAAGCTATCCTAAATAGGTGGGTTTGAAGTTTAGTTTCATCAGCAATTGTGCGAATATCAGGGGGTAGCTTGTTCCAGAGTCTCGGAGCAGCAACTGCAAATGCCTGATCACCCTGTAACAAAGTTCAGGGAAGAAGGAGGCAGGGACCGGATAATATTAAAAAATAAAACTTTACTTAAACAAAATAAACAAACAAATTACCTGCCAGCAGCCCCTCGCGGACGACTGCTGGCTACCGAAAATAAAACATAAATACGGCCAGCAGCCCGGACGACTGCTAGCTTATCAAATAAAATATAAAATACAAACAAAAGCGAGATATATCCAGCTGCAGACCCGCAGCACCACAGTTTCAGAACCCCAGCGCCAGAACCGGAAGTGAGGGAGGGGCGGAATTATTATTATTATTGCATTATAGTTATTTTAGCAAGAATGTAAGGACAAAATGGGCCTGAGAGTGAGTTCATCATTAGATAGATTGTAAGTTATATACAAGATTGTTGTGGTAAAACACACTCTAAAAAACGATTCGTTGGCCGAACAACCATTACTTACAAAAGTAATTGGATCAAACATAAAAATTAAGTAGGCCTATTCATAACTTTTCAACGTTTACTTAACATATATAGTTATATGTTACAAACGTATATAGTTATATGTTATAAGTAACAAAAATATAAGTTACTAGGTGCACTTTTTAAATAAAGTGAAAAAAAACATAAGGCATGTCAACTACTACAGTAATTGCGAAAAAATTACATCTAGCATATCATTTTAAGTAGGCTACCATGAGCCACGTGATATGCCATTTCCCGTGATGCCTATCCAGACAAAAATTCTAAGCCATTTTATGAAACACATGTGAAGACGTTGAGAAGAGGTAAGCTTATTTTTTGTACTTAGGCCTACACATGATCATTTATTGCATTTTTGGTAAAGAAATTTACTTTTAACTGAATTTCAGAATTGCTACAAATTTTGCATCAACAAGTAGAAACGTGTAACTTACGAATGTAAACGTTTGTAGTCTACATGTTAATGAATGAAATAAGTGTTTTGCACGCGAGCATTTGAAGAGTAGGCTATATTGTGTTTTTTCAAAATAAATGACCATGTTGGCTTATGCATTGTTGTGGCGTTTAATGGCGGAAGATTATGGAAAGCCAAATGGTTCACATTTCGCCACTTTCCAAACGCGTTTCATTCTCAAAACGCCGGTGTTTACGGCGTTTAAGACGAAAAGACGCTGCAAATTACGGCGTATTGTGGTACAAACGGCGTAAATTACGGCGTTTACAAAGCAAATTCGCCGTCATTTTCGGCGTTTTTTAATCCAGCCTATGACGCCGTTTCTGACACCGCAGGCCATCCACATTGCGCCGTCAATTGCGGCGCTTCTGTCTGACAAAGACGGCGTAAAAAGCGGCGTTTTGTATAATATTATAATCAGCCCCGCCCTTTTCTTCAAAGTTCAGCCCATCTAATGAAGTGACGTTTGGTGGAAAGACATATGTAGTACATTTTCGATCTGAATAGCGATCCGTCTTTAAGGTTCTGTTTTTGGAATGTTATCCTGTCATATTTTATTTCTTCATTGGGCACGAGTAGGCTATCGCTTTTTAAAAAGCACGATAAAGGAAATTTCCTTTATCGTATGTAGATATATAGTATGATTTTAGCCTCTGTTTACATTCATGTCTGTGAAATACATTAGATTACCCAGCAAACTTAACATCTTGAGTAGGGCAGTGGTCTGCGTGCCAGCATACAGTGTCGTTTTGCTCTTAGTGACAGAGGTTCGACTCCCATGTCCGACTCTTTTTTTATCTGCTTCGTTTCTTTTGTATTGGTCTGTTGTATGTCTTTTAAATTTCGGAAGACTACCCGATAGCTGACAACCGATTGAGTAAATGACAGCAGAGGCTGTTTTAAGCCCGCTTACAGTGGCTGTTGATGTGGGTCCCTTTTTTGCTGATTATAATGATGTAGATGGACAGATGCTTCACGATATAGTCCATTTCGTTTTTTAAGATCATAAGACTCTGGAGTTTTAGCAGTTCCCAGGATACACGAAAGGAGGTAGAGCCTTCCTAAACAAAACAACTATTAAAACAAGAGATGACGCTACAGCCCAAGCGCGGATACCGCTGGTCTCGACCATACAAGATAGGCTATTTCACATAAAAAATGATTTATCACGCTGCCCTTGCCTTAAAATAGATATTCATATTTGCTAACGGTGAATAATAGGCTATATTTTGAACTACCATTTATTCTGATGTTATAACGATTATATGACGGGTTTTTTATTTTTATTTTTCTTTGCTGCCATAGGCCTACATATTATTTTCTCGCAATAACTAGATCTTATTTTGTTAAAACGTTTTTTTTTTTTCGCGTATTAACAAGATGTTATGTGTTGAAACTTCATATTTTCTTGGCCTTATATAAGGACATGTGTCATGGCTACAAAATATGCCTTATCCACATTTTTTTTAATTATCCACATAAAATGTAGCATATCACGCCTCTATGATCTATCACACTTCTACGTTCAAAAAGCTTAAGCAAATAGTAGCAGCCCCCAATTAGAGGCGAACACTGAATAGGGGCCCTAGGCAAAATTAATTAATGAGGCGCCTTTTAAAAATATAGATTTTATATAATCTTTATTTTTATTTCAGACTCAGAAAAACAGAGTCCAAAAAAAAAAAAACATACAAATACGACAGCCAGACAAATAGACAAAAACAAAGGATTACCATAGTCCATATAAACAATTTCTCCAGTGCCTCCAGAGCAGTGAACTATACCTAGTACTGCTCTGGTCAGGCCATATAAGAACAATTATAATTCCATTTTGCGAGTCCATGAGTCTCATCATAAATTTATAAACAGCATTTCTTATAACAGCATTTAGTGTGGTCACACCATTCTGCACACACAACTGGCTTGCACTGGTCCAGCGAGGTACCTTCAAAAGAATCCTTAGAGCATCATTATATGCTACTTGTAGCTTGTGAAAAACAGCTTTAGTATAGCAACACCACAGATGAGGAGTATACAGTGGTGTGCAGTAAGCTTTAAACAGTGCTATTTTTACAATTTCTGTACACATTCCAAATTTCCGTACTAGCATATTTGCCTGTGCATACAATTTACAGTACTGCCTCTGGATGTCATCATTATCAGAGAGGTCACTCCTTATAATGTGACCAAGGTACTTCACTTTCTCCACAACTGCCAGACCCCTTCCTGACAAGTGGAACATGGGAAATACAGCATTACGCTGCTCTCCGGTCCTCACAATCATCACAACAGACTTTATTGGATTAAACTTGATGTCATATCGTTCACCATATTCAGTACACACATCAAGCAATTGCTGGAGGCCTGCAGAACATGGTGACATAATGACCAGGTCATCAGCATAAAGTAAATGGTTTAATAGTCTATCCCCTATCATACAGCCGGTCTTACAGTTTTTCAAAGTTCGGGAGAGATCATCCATGTAAAGATTAAAAAGCATGGGTGACAGGATCCCACCCTGCCTCACCCCATTACTCACAGAAAAAGGTCTTGATATCGTACTACCCCATCTAACCTGCATTGTTTGATGTGTGTACCAAAAACCTAATATCCGGATTAGGTAGGGAGGAACCCCTCGCTGTTGCAATTTTTCAAACAGTTTGCCATGATTGATACGGTCAAACGGCTATTGGCTATTTATGATCAACTTAGGCTTTTTTGTTGCTTTTGGGGGCCGGGTTTCCCAATAACGATGGAGTATAAGAGCGCTCTCTATACACTCTTAGAATAAACGGTTCTATTAAAAGGTTCTATCAGCGCTATGTAGCTATTATTTGGAATCCCTAAAAGGGTTCCAAGAACCTTTTTCCAAAAAAAAAAAAAAAAAACATTTTGGAGTTCCATATATGAAGCGGGGGATGGAACCATTTCTGGTTCTAAATAGAACCATTTCTTCTAAGAGTGTACGTGCAAGGTTACGAACGCTCTCCGCAATTCCGCGTTTCCCAAAAATGCACTT